GAGAATAAAAGGCCAGGTGCAGTGGCTCACATCTGCAATACCAACACTTTGGGAGGCCGAGGCAGGAGGACTGCCTGAGGTCAGGAGTTCAAGACCAGCCTGGGCAACATAGAGAGACCTCAGTCTCTTAAAAAAAAATAAAAAAAATTAGCCAGGTGTAGTGGCACATGCCTATAGTCATAGCTGCTTAGGAGGCTGAGGTAGAAAGAACACTAGAGCCCAGGGGTTGGAGGCTGCCATGAGCCATGATTGCACCACTGCATTCCAGCCTGGGCGACAGAGGGAGACCCTGTCTCTTTAAAAGAGAGAGAGAAATGGAGATAGAGATGAGAGAAAGACATCTATCCTGTCTAAGTAAGAAATACTCTGCTGAGACTTGATTATGACAAAAATAAATAAATAAAAGAGAGAAATACTCTCAGGCCAGTTATGTAACCCCTCCAAAACCTGTTTTCTCATCCACAATAAGGGGCTAATATTATTTTGGGGGCTTGGTATGATGATTAAATATAATCCATGTAAATAACCCCAAAATGTCCGTATGACAGCTGATGGTTATTAGCAAGTATAACGTTTTCTCTAGGCTTTATTCGCATTATGAAAATAGCCACCAACAGTTTAAATGGAAATCTATCTATCTATAAAGTAACTCTGTGAATGCTATCCCTGGTTACCTTAAGAAATAGCTAATGCAGGCCAGGTGAGGTGGGTCACGCCTGTAATCCCAGCATTTTGGAGGCTGAGGCAGGTGGATCACGAGGTCAGGAGTTCCAGACCAGCCTGGCCAATATGGTAAAACCCCATCTCTACTAAAAAATACAAAAAAATTAGCCGTGCATGGTGGTGTGCCTGTAGTTCAGCTACTTGGGAGGCTGAGGCAGGTGAATCGCCTGAATCCGGGAGGTGGAGGTTGCAGTGAGCCGAGATCACGCCACTGCACTCCAGCCTATGAGACTCTGTCTCCAAAAAGAAAAAAGAAAAGAAATAGCTAGTGCACAGCAGTGTGATGTTCTAGACTTGGCTCTTAGTTCACTAAGTAACTAACTTAAGTCAATGTGTCCGTAATAAAACTCAGTTTCAACTGGCTTATCTGAACGATTAAGTCTCTGCCAAAGTCTAGAATACCACCTCTGAATTTCACTTGTTCACCAACACCCAAGGCCTTCTAATTGCAACAATTTGAATATTGCATTTCTAGGTCATCTTTAGCTATGGTGGTTACATGAACAGATCATTCAGCATTTTCATAGCAAACTGTACCATTTCAAACATTTCTCACAACATATTGTTCCAATAACATTAAAACACTTTTGGGCCGGGCACGGTGGCTCAAGCCTATAATCCCAGCACTTTGGGAGGCCGAGGCGGGTGGATCACGAGGTCAAGGGATCGAGACCATCCTGGTCAACATGGTGAAACCCCGTCTCTACTAAAAATACAAAAAACATTAGCTGGGCATGGTGGCGCGTGCCTGTAATCCCATCTACTCAGGAGGTTGAGGCAGGAGAATTGCCTGAACCCAGGAGACGGAGGCTGCAGTGAGCCGAGATCGCACCATTGCACTCCAGCCTGGGTAACATGAGTGAAACTCCGTCTCAAAAAAAAAACAACACTTTTGTAGAGATAGTAAAGTCATCTTACCACATTGCCTGCACAGATACAGGTTTGAAGATGTGAACTCTGTTATCAGTCGATACGCTGAACCCGCTAAGGACAAATGAGAACAAGACAAAAATCCACAAATTAGGGTAGGTTATTTCAGTTGTAAGTTTTCAAGGATGTTTCCCAGGCTAACAACTGGCTCAGTAGAAGGAATTATCAGGCATTTCATGCAGAAGTTTTAACTAGAGCATAAGACTTGGCCGAAAAGGTTCAACAAATTGTCTGACCTCATCTACCAGGCAAAATGAATGGATTCCCATATTGGAGTTAGGGAATTAAATGCAGTTTCCCAGCTGTAGCTGTGGACAAACTGTTCTGTATATTTCTATTTGGAAGTCTTGTGGGTTCTTAGCAAACCTGACCCTGGTTTTATAAACTGGAGCAAACATCTTGGTCTCTTGGGGACACATTCTAAAAACATTAGGAGGTAGGTGGGGGTGGGGTCACTGGAAGGAACTGGCACAGGAAAGGGGTTGTACTGTAGGCTGACAGCTGGCAGAAGCAGCAAGAGGTTATTTGAAACAGAACATATCATCCTTTGGGAGAGCATTGCAACAGTCCCATGTGCTCAGATTAAACAGCCAACAAACTAGTTCTTCTTTGTCTTGATTCCTACCACGGTTGGCCTAGAAGAACAGAAGTGAGAGACCCTGGCAAGTTGTATTTTTACTCCATTTTACAAAACAGGAGTTTAAAAGGACTCATTGAGTTGCTGACATGTAAGTTTAGTTGGCACACTGGACCTCCCTTTTAGCTGAATGAATGGGTACTAAGATGGAACCCCACCCCTTGGCTTTCTGTAACAGAATGAAAAAGGAAATCTCTTACCCATCACCATCCAAATGAATTAGCGTGTCACTCCAGAGAGGCAAAACTAAGCCCATGGTACAAGTGCTACTGCAAGAGAAGAAATAGTCCACAAGTTACTCCTGTTACTCTGGGAAGCAGTCTTTTGTTTACTAACTCTTTCAACACCAAGGATAAACCCTTAAATTCCAAATTCTGGCATATGTGTTATAGTGAAGAAATTTCTATCATATTACTATTAATCTTATGTATTAATCTCCTGAAGACTCAGGAGCTGTTTTTGTTGTTGTTGTTGTTTTTTTTTTAAAGAGATAGTGAGTCAGTTCCTTAAATATTTAATGAAGAGAACTTACTGACTCAGCTTCCTACATTGTCATCTTGCAGATGGCCACTATCTAAAAAATGCAGATGATTGCTATTGTCTTGCATTTGGCAGATCTTAGGACAGGGTACAGAGCCCAACTCAACTCCAAGGAATTTTTTTTTTTTTTTTTTTTTTTTTGAGATGAAGTCTCACTCTGTTGACCAGGCTAGAGTGCAGTGACACACTCTTGGCTCACTGAAATCTCTACCTCCCACGTTCGAGAAATTCCCCTGCCTGAGTCTGCCCAGTAGCTGGGATTACAGGTGCGTGCCACCGTGCCCTGCTAATTTTTTTGTACTTTTAGTAGAGATGGGGTTTCACATGTTGGCCAGGCTAGTCTTGAACTCCTTATCTCAATTGATCCACCCACCTCAGCTTCCTAAAGTGTTGGGATTATGGGCATGAGCTATGATGTCCAGCCCCAAGGATTATTTTTAATGCCAATAACTATTGCTGGTTGCTGGAGACCTTGGGTTGTGTGATTTGCCTCTAATTCTCAGGTTTACATAGATTTAATGAACACCAGAACACATTCAATAGACTAAAAGGGAAAGTGAATTAAAAATATAAAGAAGTAATTGTTAATAGCTTGTAATCAAGATAGACAAAACAGATACAACACAACTTAAATCAATGAAACACTGCTTTGTGACTGTGTACTGAGCTAGCACTGTGGAAACACAGAGTAAACAGAAACGTCAACAACCACCAAAAAGGTAGCCCTAGTATGGTATTTAAAAACACTATTTCTTTCTTTCTTTTTTTTTTTGAGACAGAGTCTCCCTCTGTCACCCAGGCTGGAGGGCAGTGGTACAATCTCAGCTCACTGCAACCTCTGCCTCCTGGATTTAAGCGATTCTCCTGCCGCAGCCTCCTGCTGGGATTATAGGCATGCACCACCATGCCTGGCTAATTTTTGTATTTTTAGTGGAGATGAGGTTTTGCGATGTTGACCAGGCTGGTCTCGAACTCCTGGCCTCAAAATGATCCACCCGTCTCAGCCTTCCAAAATGCTGAGATTACAGGCGCGAGCCACTGCACCAGGCCTAAAATGCTATTTCAATCACACAATAGCCCCGGAAGGACTTTAAGCTAATGGAAGAGGTTGGTACAGAAAGCCATGGACCCCTGTTTGTATGCTCTATCACACCTCTTTGCTGGGAAACAGTAACCTACTCCAGATCTGCCAATGTCTCTCCTTAAGGCTGCCATAACTTGCTTTTCCCCTCTGGATAGTCTCTGAAAGGCTTCTATGATACTCCAAGCCAATCTATCTAGAGAGGCAGCATGGTGTAGTAGAAAGAATCTGGCACATGGGAGGTGGAAAAGCACAGTATGGTTAAGAGGATGGGCTCTGTTTCTGGCACTAATTGTATAATCTTAGGTGAATTAGTTAATTGTTTTATGCCTTAATTTCTTCATTTGTAAAACTAGGATAAAAATATCTTCTTCATTGTACTGTTTTGAAGATTAAATTTTTAAAAAGTGTATAATACTTCCTAAGCGCCTAAAATGTAATAGTCATTGAATAAAAGATCTGGGATTGATTTCCTTCAGTATTACAACTTCTTTTAAAAAATTATTTGACCTCTCTCAGTCTTAATTTCTTCATCTTAAACTGTGAATAACAAAACCTATTCTCATAGGTATAGGTGTAAAGACATAACATAAATATGAATATGAATCTGTAATGGGTGTTCCAAATACATCTGAAAGTGATTGTTTTTAAAGCATTATTTAAGTGATTGTTTTTAAAGCATTATTTAAATGTTTTAAAAACAGCATGAGGAATACCAAACTTTTAACTGTTAAGAGTCACTGCAGGGCTAAAGGAGGCCAGCCCTTAGTTGGTCTTTCCACTACACTTGCTGGCCTGTGCTACTTAACACCTTGCTAGTGATTCCAGAGCTCAGGGGATTCAAATCAAGACCAAAACAGCTTGTCCACATTGGAACCTGGACCTGAACAACAGAAGCACAGCTACCATGCCAGAGTCCAGAAGCAAGTAAGACAGCTCTACCACAAGTTTTGTTGAGTAGATGAGATAGGCACACAAAAAATTTGTTTTGAAGATGAAGTGGGGATAGTTTTATCCCTCTTTTTGTTTTGTATTTAGTGAGTGCTTAGCCAGGTTCTTAGCAACAAGTATAATTTGGAGTATAAATATGATGGGTTTGTAGTCCAGTGACAAATCTAGAAATTAACTATATAAAAAGAAAGCTTCAAAAGAGTATGATCTATAAGCTTGTGACCAGATTTTGGTTGACTTTTGGACAAGTGACATGGATATACAGGAACTAACATTACATTTTTGGCTTGTATTCAGGCCAGAATGCTTTTTCACATTAAGAAGTAGCTTTTTCACACAACAGGAAGGAAAGGCCTGACTGAGGCACACTTTGTATTTTTGTCTAGGTTACCTGAGTCTCTCAAGATTTTTCTCCATTAAAGTATAACTACTTATTTTAGTAAATATTCAACTCATTCAATAAAAATTTATTTAGTGCCTATTATGTACCAGACATTTCAAGGTGTTGGGGGTACAAAAAGAAATTAAAAAACCACACAAAACCATGAAGCTCTATTATAACTTAAAATATACGTCACATTTTAGAAACCAAGACTTTGCTGCATTTTAAAAAAATTTATTACTTATGATTCTCAAAAAACTTGCAAATAGGCTAAATGAATTGGCTGCCATGCATTATTAAGAACTATTTGTACTTGTCATAATCTGGGTTCCACTTTGGCTTAATACCATTTAAGCATTAATATTTTACAGTCTCAGACATGAAATGATACAAATTCAAATTCCTTCACTGACAACTGAGACAGAAATGCTTTTAAATTACCTGAGTACCTGAGAGTTCTAACTATCCAAGGAGCTCATTAAAGTAGAGGATGTATGGGAATTTCATAACAGCAAGTTTACCATACAGAATGAAAACTAGTTTCCAGCTTTTCATGCCTTATTTTGTCTTCTATAAACTAAAATTTCCTTCGGCTAGTGACACTGGTCAGATATGATTCAGACAAAACCACTGCAAAAGACAGATGTAGTTTACTGAGTATAACTACTGGGTACCTATATTAAAATGCATTTTTTCTGGTAAAGTTCAGGACAAAGTGAAAGACACAAGACACAAAAGTGCTTGCTCATATTTTGGGTCAAGAGACTCTGCAGTTATTGTCTTCTGTCTTTAGGGGAGGACTCAACTGAAGCTTCATGAGGTTCCTGTTCCTGTTCTATAGGTTTTCAAGGGAGGGGGTCAGGGAGAATTGAACAAAGGAAATAGGAGCTAGACAGTGCTGTCCAACTGAACTTTCGGCAAGAATGGAAAATGTTCTGTACATGTACTGTCTAATACGATAGCCACTAGCACATAAGGTTACTGAATACTTGAAATGTGACTAGTCAGAATTGAGGAATGGAAATTTCATTTAATTTTAATCTATTTAAAAAGACACATGCATGCTGTGTGCAGTGGCTTATACCTATAATCCCAGCACTCAGGAAGGCAGAGGCAGGAACCCAGGAGTTGAGATCAGCCTGGGTAACACAGAGACCCTGTTCTTGACAAAAAGGAAAAAAACAAGAAAAGAAGGAAAAAAAAGAATAGAAGAGGAAGGAAGGAAGGAACAAACGAAGGAAGGAAGGGGCACACATGATTAGTGGCAACTATACTGGACAATACAGATCTAGAGAGATTAAAAAACTAAATTAAAGGTCCTAAAATCCTAATAAATGTAAACAAGGTAGGTGCTGTTATAGGAAAATACTGAAAGCTCTGATGCTTAGGTAACATCAGAAGTTAAAACTATGCAGGAGAAAGCTTCCTAAATGTGGTTTATAAGCCTGTGTTAATTCAGAGCCTACAATTAAATGCTGTAAGTGGTATACAAGCTAATAACTTTGGATTTGTGATCCCTGTGAACCCCCAAGTCATTTTCAGGTTGACTTCTATATAGGAATAAGGTAAACACTGGTTCGGGAAACTTTCTAGTGACAATGTGATTTTTATCCCTCAACAACAGGACAATTAAAATCATTCCCCGGGTCCTCTCCTCTCTTTGTGACTAAATTCCCCTAGGCCTGGGTCACACCCCTAGTTACTCCATAGTTCCATTCTTGTCCTGAACCAGGAAGTCAATGCTTTGAGACATCTGGCAGGATTTCCTGAGGCTTATTATCCAGAGTGTAAAGATCTGCTTAGCAGCCACATTCCACAGTCTTCCAAACGTTTCTCCAGAAAAAGTGGGGAAAATATAAAAGGAAAGCAAGAAACCTTAAGGACACACCTAAAAAACTAGGTGTTGTGTATTATCTTTAATCATAGAATGTGAAGTACAGCTAAAGTCAAAGGTACATAATAACAAAAAGTTCTGCTTTGAGTTTAAGGAGCCATCCTGTACCGTTACCCCTGCCCCCACCATCCTTTTTAACTCAATAGAAGAAAAAAGGAGGCATAACATTTGGTAAAAGTAAGGTTTAAGGACACGGAAAAATAAAACAGATTGTGGTTTAAGTGGGATCTCTTTGAATCTAGGACCACTGGTGCCCTAGAATCACCAAAGTGAATCATTACTGATTATAGCAGAGTAGACCAGGTGCAAGGCTCTTGCCTGTAATCCCAGCACTTTGGGAAGCCAAAGCAGGAGGATTGCTGAAGTCCAGGAATTCAACACCAGCCTGGCCAACATAAGGAAATCTCATCTCTAGAAAAATTAGGAGAAAAACAAAAGGAGATCAGACAGCTGGGCATGGTGGTGCATGCCTGTATTTCTAGCTACTTAGGTTAGGAGGCATGGATTCCTAGAACCTAGGAGGAATTTGAGGCTGTAGTGAGCTGTGACTGCATCACTGCACTTCGGCCTGGGCAACAGAGTGAGACATTGTATCAAAAAAAAAGAAAAAAGAAAAAGAAATAAAAAAGAAAACAAACATAGAGCAGACTGCCAAGAAAAAGCAGCTTTTTTTCCCTGGAAATGTAACTTTGAAACCACTTGCTTTATATCATGACTACCTAAAGATGAGATGAAGGTATGGAATAATGGTAAATGCACAACCAAAGACATTCACTAAACATTCTTGTCTCTCAAGACTGTGGCTAAGATACTTATGTTCTCTAGTTTTATGTCTTGAACTTTAACAGCAGAACTGCACAAGACATTTTTGTGATAAAAGGCAACTGGGGCTGGGCATGGTGGCTCACGCCTGTAATCCCAGCACTTTGGGAGGCCGAGGCAGGCAGATCACTTGAGGTAAGGAGTTTGAAACTGGTCAACATGGCAAAACCCCATCTCTACTAAAAATACGAAAATTGGCCAGGCATAATGGCGCACACTTGTAATCCCAGCTACTCCAGAGGCTGAAGCAGGAAAGTCACTTGAACCCGGGAGGTAGAGGTTGCAGTGAGATGAGAGTGTGCCACTGCACTCCAGCCTATGCAACAGAGTGACACTCCATCTCAAAAAAATAAAAAGGCAACTGGAACAGGTTACTTAAAAAGCAGTTTTCACATTTTGAAATGGTACCACCATACCTGTCATTAGAGGAGAAATCCATTCCTAGGACGATGCTTTCTTCAGTGTCTTGTCTACCATTAGTTGAAACCACTACCATATAGCGTGTTCGATTCTGGTAAGTACTTTCCAGTCTTACAGCCTGGAAGTTAGCAGACAACAGAATAATTATGAAATTTAGAATATTAATGTCAGATAATTTCAACCCTTTTGCATCAGCATCTTAAAGCATACTCAGGAAGGCAGGAGAGCCAGAGGTTAGGAGACATAAATTTAAATCTCAGCTTGTACACTAGCTATAAAACCTTTGTTAAGTTATTAAATTAATTGGCGGTAGGTATAATAATACCTATCTGTCAGGTTGTTTTAAGAATCTTATAAAATAATACACTTAAAGCACAGTGCTTGGCACACAGTAAATGCTGAATAAGATGTTTGCTATTAGTGTAATTTATAATAATCACCACAGTGTGTACTAAAGACTGAAGAGGGAAGTGTGAGGTATATGAATGTACTGGTCTCAGAGATGCAATTCCCACAAACAATTATAATATGAAATAAACTATCAGCATCATCTAAGGGGAGTATTGACTTTGCTACAATGAATTCCTGCATGTTAATACACCACAAGATTTTTTGTTTCAATAACTAAAGGAGATTTTATTTTCAGAAACTTCTCATTTTTTGTCAAAAGTTTTAATTTATTGGTTAATTAAATTTTAAAAGAACACTCAGAAAATTTGAAGATGGACAGAATCTTAGATGAAATTCAGGATTTACTGTTAGTGTAATAATGACATTGTGGTTACTGTGCCTTTTTCTTAAGTACCTGGAGTAAAATAACATGGTTTCTGAGTTTTACTGTAATAATGACATTGTGGTTACTGTGCCTTTTTCTTAAGTACCTAGAGTAAAATAACATGGTTTCTGAGTTTTACTTTAAAATGTTCCAACAAAAGCATTTAAAAAGGAGAGGGGATAGATTAAAGAAGTCAGGCAAAAGGTTGATGGTTATTAAAGCTGAGTAACAGCCAGGCGCAGGTGGCTCATGCCTGTAATCCCAGCATTTTGGGAGGCTAAGGTAGGCGGATCACCTGAGATCAGGAGTTCGAGACCAGCCTGTCAACATTGTGAAACACTGTCTCTACTAAAAATACAAAAAAAATTAGTTGGGCGTGGTGGCACATGCCTGTAATCCCAGCTACTCAGGAAGCTGAGGCAGGACAATCACTAGAACCCAGGAGGCAGAGGTTACAGTGAGCTGACATTGTGCCACTGCGTTTCAGCCTGGATGACAGAGCGAAACTCTGGCTAAAAAAAAAAAAAAAAAAAAGCTAAGTAATGAGTTTATGAGGATGTATTTTCTACTTTGATATGTTTGGAAATTTCCTTAATAAGTTCAAAAAGATACCTTATAAGCCTTAAAAATAAAACAACTTCAGGTGAAACATTCAAATGTTTATTACACATATATTATATATATAATAATGCCAAGTACTGAGGATTCAGTGGTGGAAGACAGAGACATGATTTATACCCTCCTTGAGTATACAGTCTAGTCTACTCTTCTTTCATTTGTTAATAATAGTTTTTAAATGACAAATTTTTTTTTTTTTTTTAAAGAGATGGAGTCTTGCTCTGTCGTGCAACCTCTGCCTCCTGGGTTCAAGCAATTTTCCTGCCTTAGCCTCCCAAGTAGCTGGGACTACAGGTGCATGCTGCCACATCTGGCTAATTTTTTTTTTTTTTTTTGTATTGTAGTAAAGACAGTGTTTCACCATGTTGCCCAGGCTGGTCTCAAACTCCTCAGCTCAGGCAACCCACCTGCCTCGGCCTCCCAAGGTGCTAGGATTACAGGCATGAGCCACGGTGCCTGAACCTTTTTTTATTTTTTTTTGAGACAGGGTCTCACTCTGTCACCCAGGCTGGAGTGAAATGGTGTGACCTTGGCTCACTGCAACCTCCATTTCCTGGGTTCAGGTGATTCTCCTGCCTCAGCCTCCTGAGTAACTGGGATTACAGGTACATGTCTAGCTAATTTTTGTATTTTTAGTAGGGATGGGGTTTCACTATGTTGGGCAAGCAACCAGGCTGGTTTTGAACTCCTGACCTCAGGTGATCTGCCCACCTTGGCCTACCAGTGCTGGGATTACAGGTGTGAGTCACTGCACCCAGCAAAATGACAGCTCTTTGAAACCAGGAAAATGTGATCTAGAGGCAAATTCTTCTGTATAAAATAACCCCTATTCCTTAGAAAAACAGAATTCTAATCCATTAACTGGCTCCTATTTGTCAGAAATTTCTGCTTGGAATTTTTTTTTTCAGTGCTGCTGTTCTTAGAGTCTTCTTCCCCTTAACTCTGTAACTATTCCAAAATGACCAGGCCAAGAGAAAAAGAGAGATAGCTGCACGGCTCAAATGACCCATTTAGCAAGGCAGAGGTGGCTATATTTTTGTTTCTACTCTGATACTCCTAGGAAAAGCTAGAGAAGCACAAACAGCAGAAGTGGCTACATTAAATCTTGTTTCTAATAGGAATGGATATAACAAGAATGTAATGTTTACCATTCTGATGCCAAATGCATAGGACAGAGTACTTCTGACTTCATGTTCCATGAAGTAACTGAGCATTTAAAACCAAATTCACTTATGAGAAAATTAAGAAGAACTAACATTTAAATGAACTAAGGTCTAGAAGGCTGTGATCAAGGGTGGGACATTATACACATAGAAAAATGGATAAATAGTAAATGTATATGTGGTGGACTGGGAGCCAGTACTGACTCCTTGTCTGCTTGTAGAAACACTATGCAACATGTTAATTAACCAGAAAACCTGGTGCAGGTAAACTAGAATTTCTTATAAACAAGATCTCACATATTATTACATATTTATACTTGGGCCTCCCTTGGCCCAAGTTTCCTGAATGTGTTAGAGGATCTTTTATTCTCTGTTAAGGCTCCAAGAATTTCTGGCAAGGCTCAAATACAAATGGCCTGAGAACAACTGAACTGTGTTTCTTACAATTTATCTACAGCTCCTACACCAACCAGTGGCAACCGATTAGCGAAGTCAAAGCTGATAAAAAGAAAAATAAAACTTTCATATTACCTATAATGCAAGCTATCAGACCAAGTTAAAAGTGAGCTGCAAGAGTTTCTTTGTAAGTGATATTCATTGCAAACATTAGTTGTCTCTCTTTTTTTTTTTTTGGCAGAGTCTCACTCTGTTGCCCAGGCTGGAGTGCAGTGGTGCGATCTCAGCTCACTGCAACCTCTGGACCCCAGGTTCAAGCGATTCTGCCTCAGCCTCCCAAGTAGCTGGGATTACAAGTACCTGCCACTGCACTTGACTAATTTTTGTAATTTTAGTAGAGATGGGGTTTCACCATCTTGGCCATGCTGGTCTTGAACTCCTGACCTTGTGGTCCACCAGCCTTAACCTCCCGAAGTGTTGGGATTACAGGTGTGAGCCACTGTGCTCAGCGAGTTGTCTCTTTTTAAAAAGTTTATTTTACCATATCAAAAGCATTTCAAATGTTTGGCTCTCCCTTGCTTACTCAAACTGTAACAGAAGATCCCAAACCTAATGAGAAGGGCCCCAGCCATTTCACACTGACTTAAGCTTGAATAACATGCATATCTCAGATCCATTCAATTTTAAGCTTCTTTTTTGTTTTTGTGTTTTATTCTGTTACCTAGGCTGGAATGCAGTGGGGTGATCTGCAACCTCTGCCTCCTGGGGTCAAGCAATCCTCCCACCTCAGCCTTCCAAAGAGCTTGGACCACAAGTGCCCCCCACTATGTCTGGCTAAATTTTTGTATTTTTGGTAGACACAGGGTTTCACCATGTTGTCCAGGCTGGTCAATTTTAAGCTTCTTAGATGGAAGAATAGCACTTAAGAATTACTGGGATTTGATTACAGACCTTTAGATAGTACCTACAGCATTAATTCAACACCTATATCCTAATTAGAAGAAGAGCTAAAATCTTTACAGAAAAAATTCTGAAATGTGAGGGGATAAACCCAAGACTTTAAAGTTCCTTTTAGGCTGGGCACAGTGGCTCATGCCTGTAATCCCAGAACTTTGGGAGGCTAAGATGGGCGGATCACTTGTGGTCAGGAGTTCCAGACCAGTCTGGCCAACATAGTGAAATCCTCTCTCTACTAAAAATACAAAAACAAACAAACAAACAAACAAACAAAACCAAATTAACTGGGCATGGTGGCACACGTCTATAATCCTAGCTACTTAGGAGGGTGAAGCAGGAGAATCATTGGAATCGAGGAGGAGGAGGTTGCAGTAGGCCGAGATCTCACCACTGCACTCCAGCCTGGGTGGCAGAGCGAGTGAATGAAATTCTCAAAAAAAAAAAGTTCCTTTTAAGCTTCAAGATCCTAGGTTAAGGTGAGAAGGGAGACCCAGGCATTTGGGATTCCCTCCCCCGCCTGTCATCCATTGTGCATCTCAATAGGAGAGACAGGAGGCCAGTTGGCACCTCCTGAATTCCCTTCCTGAAAACAACAGGCTAGGCCTTGGGGAAACTCTCCAGAAGGTACTATTTTTACTTAAAACAAGATCAAACCAGAGAACTTTTCACATGTGAGTCCTAAAACTGTAAACCGGAACTCTTTCATATGTGATTCCTGAAACTGTAAACAGAGAACTTTTCACATGTGAGTCCTAAAACTGTAAACCGGAACCCTTTCATATGTAATTCCTGAAAGTGTAAACAGAGACCTTTTCACATGTGAGTCATAAAACTATGAACCTAAGATTCTTCCAGGTGTAACATATAAAGTATAAGCCTATATAAAGGCTGAACCTCCCTTTGTTAGAGGAGCTTGGCTGTTAGGCACCTATGCCACCAAGCCCCCAGCTGAAATAAATTCCTTCCTCCTGTATTCGGTGCCTGAGAGATCCTTTCCTGCGGCCGCTCCTGCTACAAAGGAATTACAAATCTATGTGTCACAGGCATAAGGAAAGTCTAACACTCATCCTGGTTTGAGGTTTATTTCATATTCCTCTGCTGGAGGTTAAGAGTAAACAAAATCTAACAATCTACTTTCTTAACATAATCAAAGAAATATAATTTAAAATGGAAGGTTTGTACATAATACCCTAATTTTGAAAATGATGC